AATGTAATCAAACAAGTCGTCGTCGTGAATTTACATTAGCATTTGCGGGATCCTCCCACATGGGCATGATCTTGTCTTTGAATATGTGGAAATTGGTATTTAACTCCAATTGACTAGGCTTTTTCACCCAATTGAAGTAACGACAGAATGTTTCGACCTTGTGAATCAATACGGATGTAATACTTTAGTACTTTTTTTGAACATGTTGAGAAAGTTTTGGACGAACGGATAACAAACCATTCAATTACCGTGTTAAATGTACCAATGGTCTGTAGGTTTTCTTCGTATGAAATCTTTCCGGTCGGCGTTTTTGGTCCCGGAGTCATTGCCGGTTTACTATCGTAGTACATTGTCCTAAACACGATATAATTAGCATACATCCGTGGAAAGGGACACCCGATTTAATGTTGCCGTCAATAATTAGCGCATGAGATTTTTACCATGAATGCTGAAGAGGATGCGGCTTCAAATCCCTCGAAAACTCGGTGTGTACGCGATGACTTTCGTTAATAGCAGAATTATAACTTCTGGACCTCATCAGAGGGAATCCGGCGTCGACCACCAAGGGAGATTCGGTTAGTTTTCCGGTGAGTTGACCGGACGGATTCCTTTGCATGGATTTACCTCCCTGTAAGTTGTTCATGTCCGTGACAATTTTTGGACGTATGAGAGGTGCAATTCGAAGGGGAACGGGTTTGGAGAAATTACCCATCCCATTTTTGCCACCGTCTTTACTATCGTTGGGGACATGATTGAGTCTTTCCCAGCGTTCATTACTCTCGCGTATTGCGTTCATGTTAATTTCGGAAAAGTTAGGAGGCAGACTTAAACGGGAGCTCCTCGAGTTGCTCTTACTACCACCGGAAGTCTTGGCTGATGGAGCAATCCACGGAGCGACGTTGAGATTCAAATTAACTCGTGCATCTTGAGTGGACTTACTGTTTTTTGAGTTTTCATTTCTTTCATTTTCCTTTTTGTTACGTGGACTCTTTGAACGGGAGCGACTCCTGGATCTACTGGAATTTGGACTTTTAGGAGGGTCGAGCTTATCACCAGAGGGACTTTTACCACGCTTGCCGTTTCTTCCAGGGCTTTTCCCCCTGGAGTCTCTCTCCCTTGAAGGACTTTTCTCCCGGGAAGTACCGTTAGAGATATCTAGCAGCTCGTTGTTGGAGGTTGAATTCAACTGATTCTTCTTGAGCTGGGGAGGGGCATACTTGACGTTAATTGTGGGAACGGATGTGACCGATGAGCCCGAGGACGAACGAGAGTGTTCTGACGGCATATTTGATTTTATAGTCCAAGAGAAGTTTTTAACAACTTTTTGGATATTCGCAAATGGGGGACCACTGGGTATTTAAGGATTTTCCCAGCAAGAAGCAACACAATGTATGCGACATTTCTGAAGGTGATACAAAAAGTATTGTATATATTATCAGTAATAAAGACAAAGGGTAAATCCTGTATTACAGAAATTTTATTCGGCACTTATTATAAATGAGCATGCTTTTAAACACAAATAATTCGAACGTAAATGGCCTTTGAAATGATATTTGGAAAATAATTTTAAGGAGCATTTTTGAAAGCCACATTTAGAATTGTAGAATTGATTTATTTTTTTTATCTGAGATTTAAATGAACGAGCTTAGTAAAACTTAAATTTGAAACCTGGAATTTATAATGCGAATCATGTCAAGAAAGAAAAGATAGAATCAGACATAAGTTCTTCACCACTCATTACCTCTGTGAAACAAGACCGCATGTCATCACGATTCTCACCAAACAATTGAACAGGAAATAATTAATGGAATACAAATACAAATAATTTAACCTAATCGCATTCACGGAGGGCTTGCATCACGCGTATCTCTCTTCGCTGTTTTCACGATGACATTAAGCGTAATGATGCAAGAGCAAAAAATAATATATATAATACACATCACATCCTGGAGACAAATTTACACACATCTCATGGTCTAAGAAAAATATCTTATTATTCAATAAAAATATACACCGAACGCCATGGCCGTGCATATGATGGTCTCCTAAAAACAGAGAAAAAAAAAAAAGAGGTCAGCGATTGATATTAAAACTTGAGGAGAAACGATTGAAGAGACGCGAATGAGCTTACATTCTTAAAAGTGTCCTGAGCCACGTTATCGGTGTCTTTATCCCACAGACAATTGATTTGCATTCTAGACAATATGTCATGTACGAAAGAACCCCGTCATGATTAGTGTTTTGCCTTGCATTTTTAAGTTGAAAATCTTGCGTACCTAGCCCCTGCTCCTTTATTCTCCAATATGGTAACATTAACGATGTATTTATACTTATTAAGTTCCAAGTCTTATTGTGTTCGATTC